TGAAAAGTGTAGGTAAGTTTAGCCCAGTGGTTAGCACAGTCCTTGGCTCACTTGAGGTGCTTGATAAACACTGAATTGACTCATTCCCACACTGGGGGAAAGGGGAAGGCTGGAAAGCAAAGTTGAGGCCATACTGTGGAAGATCTTTATGCCGCAGACATTTTTAACTCATTCATTTCCCTGGTCAAAGCTTCCTCAATGTTATTGGCAGCAGAAAGGGGGAAGAATGAAATGTAGAGAGATGGGCAGTAGGGGAGGCCGGTTCAGAGGTTAGAAAAGTAAAAGAAAAAAAAAGGGGGGGCTAGAAACATAGTCTTGCTGAAAAGTCAGATGGCCTTAACTTACTGGATGCAGTAGGAATGGAAAAGAGAGGAGGGAGGCTGGGTACAGCAGCTGATGCAGAGGTAGGACTAACCCATCATGGCAACTGATTGGGTGGGTAGATAGGGAATGCTTGAGGAAGAATGATTGGAAGACTACTCCAAGGTTCTGAACCCACATAACCTGAAAACCTAGGGCTGTTAATAGCATTAAAATGGGAGTCAGGAGGTACAGCTTGGCTGTGAACAGGCTGGATTTAAGGGACTGGCGGGATATCCAAGTGGAGGGTCTGCAATTCAGGAGTGAAGTCAGGACCAGTGAAAGATGTGGGAGCTACACACACAATATTGAAGTTATAGGAGTTCGTGTGTTCTCCGAAGAACAGAGGGTAGAAAGAGACCCAGTTTTAGGGCAGTGGTATAGGGAATGTGCATATTCAAGAAGTGGGAGAGGGGCACCCGGGTGGCTCAGTCGGTTAAGTGTCAGTTAAGCGTCGGACTCTTGATCTCAGCTCAGGTCTTGATCTCAGGGTTGTGGGTTCAGGCCCTGCATTGGGCTCCATGCTGGATGTGGAGCCTACTTAAAAAAAAAAAAAAAAAGAAGAAGTGGGAGGAAGAATAGGTCACAAATATCAGTTGGGGGGGGGGTCCTCTGGGTGGCTCAGTCAGTTAAATGCCCCACTCTTGATTTTGGCTCAGGTCATGATCTCAGGTTCATGAGATCAAGCCCTGCGTTGGGCTCCCTGATCAGCACATCGTCTGCTTGGGGTTCTCTCTCCCTCTCCCTCTGCGTCCCTCCCCCTCACCAGATGCATGCTTGCCCATTCTCCCTTGCTCTCTAAAAAAACAAACAACAACAACAACAAAAACCCAAATATCAGTTAGGACCCAGGATAGTGCTAGAGTTTTACATTTATTTCCTGAACATACCAGCTTAGTGTGCTACAAAAGCGAATAAGACTTTTGGTGTCATTTTCAATGTCAAGGCTACTTGAAATAAATAATCATATTAACCCCAGACAAGTAACCTAGGATACTTTGTGCAGATGTGGTAATGAAACCCCAAGAGAGATATTAGCAGATCTAGAAATGGTCCAGAGAAGAGCAATTAAAATAACCAAAGGGGAGAAGCAACTGATGTTTTTAGAAAGACTAAAGGGGTAAAGAACCCCTTTAGTCTGGAAAAATAGCTACAAGAATCTACAGATGCAGCAGCAGCAATAATAATGGCTAACATTTACTGAGTACTCACCATGCGAGGTTATTCTTTTATTCAAGATTTTATTTTTCTAAAGTAATCTCCACACCCAACATGGGGCTCGAACTTGCAACCCAGAGATCAAGAGTGGGATTATTCTAAATAATAGGATTGTGTTGTCTCACTCAATCCTAACAACAATTTTACCAGGTAAGTACTGTTATTATCTCCACTTTACAGATGAGGAAACTGAGGCACAGTGAAATTAAGTAACTTGCCCAATCTCCCGGATAGTAAAGGAGAAGCCAGGATTCAAACCCAATCTGATTCTAGAGCATATGCTTTTAACCACAGGGGTATAAACCTTTCAGTAAACAGGTCTTAAAGATATGAATCAAGTAACCACAGTCTTGTTTACTGAGATTCAAAACTCAGTAAATGCCAAGGTGCCACTTAATGCATTAAGAGGGATACATCGTTTCATTGTTTGAATTTCTTACACCGAACATACACCATTTTTGCAAAGAAATAAAAAAGATGATGCGATTTCAATATAAATGTTGAAAATACTAGTTAATCAAGCAGGTAGTAAAATTCTAGAATTAGTTACCCAGGGAGGTTGGAATAAATATAAATAGTTTGAAGAAAGGTTTAGTACCTACAATAGATATATTCCTCTTATAGATACCTATAATAGCAACATATTCCTAGGGAAAGTGGATTTTTGAACTAGGTAGGAAAGGACAGAGTGTTCAGGAAAGAGGGAGAATCTGCGTGGGAAATGGAGGCACATCTGAGTGGTGCATGAAGTCACTCGCCTAGTTGGGTGGCATGTAACCAAGTTAATTAACTTGAAAACAATTTGGGATTGCAGTGCTTTCTCATTCAACAGACTATCCTGGGAAGACGTGATGAGCCTTCGTAAATAACATCTGGGTAGGAAACGCTTTAGAGATCATTATCCCCACCTTTAACAATTTCACATCATGGATCCTCTGTGCATATGGAAAATAGCTGTTTCTTTAGGAAAACTAAAGGCACTTCTGGGGTCACCTAGGAATTTAAATGCTCTTTCGCATGAAGTTTGACTTCTGTTCTAAGAGCTCACGAAAACATTGCTGCTCCTAGCTGTACCTTGCACTTTTGGAATGAACTCCAACCCAGAAAACAATGTAGGAATGGACCCAAGGTACTTATTTGAATGATACAATGATACAATCCTTGGTTAACTATGACTATGAATACCTTGGCTTCCCTTCATGTTAAAATTTACAGATGAGACCATTAAAATCCCACTCCCTGAATAGGAGTTAACCATTTATTTCTAGAAAATGTGAATCTAGTGTAGTTTCTTTTGCATCCGTACATGGGTAAGATATTCAAAAGAAGAGAATGGGGGGCATGCGTCTTAAAGGTGTAGTGGAGAAAACTAAATTCGATGCCTGGCCACTTCCCTGAAGACTAGGATAATGTACTGGTGGCTTATACAAATACCAGATTTCTTACCGGCTCTTTTTTCCCCCGTAACCTCATCTTTTCAAAGGAAAGGAACCAGATCTCAGCTCCCTTAAGAAACCTAATCATTTTTCTGCTTCGGATAAATTAATATTAGCAGAGATAATTTAGTAGGATGCCTGAAAAGGCTATTTTCAATTTGACCATTATCAAAGCTAAAACCAAGGGTTAAGACTTTTTTTCCCGGTCAATTATCTTTTCTATCTAGCCACCTCCCAGGGGCGAAGGAAGCACTTTCCTGTCAAGTACAGAAAGATTATTTCCTGGTTCTTCCTGATTGTGTGGTTTATAAATATGCCTACATTTGTAAGAAATACATTACACTGTACTTGACATTGATTGAGTACTGTGTCAAATCTTGGCTTAGAAGTGAAAGAATTGGAGTGGGCCCAGACGAAAATAATGACCATAATTAAAAGTTTGGAAAATGAGATGGAGGACAAAAATTGTATAAAGGTAATCTGAAGGCTCTTGGATGCCTTCTTTATATTCTAATTTTTTTTCAGCTTTGAGGAAGCTCAAGTACATCAGAAAATGTTTATCATCAATCGAGGGGTCATCAAAATTTAAGAGTATATGCAAGTCCCAGGGATTTCTGAACCCAATTCAAAAAAATGGAAGGACTCTCTATAGAGATCCTTTCAAACAAGGCTACATCACTCCCCACTTCTTTCCCATAATTCATTCAGCAAACAGTCTTTGAATGCCTACCATATGTGACAGGCAATATTCTAGGCATGGACAGAAATCTTTGTTCTCTTGGAACTTACCTTCCAATGGGGGAAGAGAGACAGTGAACAATAATAACACAACAAACATAATAAACAGGTAAATTATAGAATATTTCAGAAGGTGATATTAAAAAAAGAAAGAAAGAAAGAAATAGAGCAGGCTAAGGGGACCAGGAATGGGAAGACTGCAAGTTTAAAAGGGGGTGTCCAGGATAGGCATCTTTGAGCAAATGAGAGTTAGCAAAATTGATGCAGCTAAAAAGTAGAATCCTGACAGGGCCGAGGGCATTTACCTTGTGATATGCAGCTTACAACGCTGTGCCAATCAGACAAGGGGCACTGGAGGAGTTGGTGCAGAGTTTGGAAAAATGGATGAATTGCGTCTTAGCCATATTCAGTTTGAAGTGCCGCAGGATAGAAATAAGCGATTAGCAGGTCTGGAAATGCAGGTCTGGAGCCAAAGAGAGACGTTTGAGATTGAGATGTCACTTTGGAATTACTGTGTTACCGCTTGCGGTGGGAATGAAGAGGTGAGCTCGCCATAGGAGAGCAGAGTGGAAAGAAGGGGAGACTCTCACTAATGAATGTGTACATTTTAGGGGATGGAGACAAAGACAAATCGAGAAAGGAGAGTACACTTTTTTCCTGATCAGAGATAGAGGTGGGCTGGCGTTGTGCGCGTCCTTTTATTCCTCCCCTTTCATTTCTCCCTAACGTAAACTGCCTCTCTTCAGGACAAAAACCCTCCCGCGCGGCACCACAACCCCTTGGGGCGCGAGTCTTTCTTCAAGACCTTTTGAAGGTAAGGAGAAGGGAACTAACTTTTACGGAGCATCCCACGCGTGCCACGTGTTTGGGGTTCCAAATACCGGGTTGTTCTCCTCTGCACCCCACCCGTCTCTTCGCTTTCACACCCTTGCCTCCTTCGGCAGTGTTGGCTCCCAGAGGGCTGAAGCACTGTACCCGCCAGCAGAAAACAAAGGACCCAGCGGGACGGAAAAGCAAAGCAAACAAACAAACCCCCCTGCGAGGAGTAGAGACCCAGCGCCGCCGGCCTTGAACCTCCGCCTCCAGCCCTCCCGGTGCCCCGCCCCTCGGCCCCGCCCGGGCCCCTCGCGGGCCCTGCCCCTTGCTCCGCGGCCCGCGCTCATTCGCTGGCGCCCTTCCGCTCCGCTTCCCCGTTGATCCGCTTTCGCCTCCTTCGGTACGCTCTCCGCTTAGCTCCGCCCCTCACGGAGAGACGGTGCACGCAGGCTCGGCTCATGGTCACTCGCGGACCTTATTCCGTGTCGCTTTCCCCTTCTTCCCGGCATTCCTGCTTCCGCTTTCTCACGGCTCTTTGGTTTTTCCACCTCCGAGGCACTTCGCGCCCAGGGGTTCGGTGACGTCATCTCTCTGCGCTGCGCGGACACCCGCCAGTGGAAGAAGGAACCGCTCGCCGCCCTTCGCCTCTTTTGTTGGGCTGCTGCTTCTCCGGAATCATGGCGCCGTCACTGTGGAAGGGGCTGGTGGGCGTCGGCCTCTTTGCCCTAGCCCACGCGGCCTTTTCCGCTGCGCAGCGTAAGTGCTGGGGGAACCGCGACCGCTCCTGTGTGGGACTCCGGGGGTGGTGTGTGGGAGCACCCCGAGGGAGTGTCGGACCGAGTGTCCCAGGAATGGTCATTTGAGCCCTTAGAGTTGGGTGGTGACTCCGAGAAGCGGCGCGGGGCTTCCCGGTGGAAGGCTCGGAGTCTGAGTTTGAGGAGATGGGCACCTGAGATTGCAGCAGGGGTGGAAGGGGAAGAGGGTGTCTGGGAGAGGGCTCTGAGCTGGCTGCAGGGTGGGCAAAGAGGGAGTCTGTGTCAGGCTGCAGGGTGGCCAGAGAGGGAGTAGGTCCGGGAATCCGGGACAGGTGATGTCAGATCCAGCGTGGGACTGAGCAGGCAAAGTGTCAGATTGAGGACCTCGATGCTCATGGTCCCATGACAACTAGGTGGACAACATCTTGGGCACTTCTGGGCTGTCCAGGCAGAGACTGAGAAGTTAAGTGACCGTTTGCCTCATGGGGGCATTGTGGTACAGGAGAAAGAGCACTGGACTGGGAGTCTGGAGGGCTGGTTCTGAAAAACTTGCTTTACCGCTAAATCTGTGTGACCTTGGGCAAGTCATGTCCCTTCTCTGAGCCTTCATTGAGGTGGATTTTAATTCTTGCTTTTTCTGTGTCACAGAGTCACTGGGAAGTTTAAAAGAAAAAAGTAAAAGTACTTTAGCATACACATACAATTGTATCATCAAGAAGAAACTTGGAGTCTAGCAGAGGAGGTGGTGCGGTCTTGAGACAGCTGATCTGTTTTGTGGTCTTCCTTCTCTACTAGACCAGGGGTCAGCAAACTGGCCTGTGGGCCAAATGCAGACTCTCTTCTGTTTTTGTAGTGAGCTAAGAATGTTTTCACATTTTAATTTGTTGGGGGAAAAAAAGCAAAAGAATATCATTTTATGATCCATGACAATTACATAAAATCCAAGTTTCAGTGTCCATCAATGAAGTTTTCCTGGCAGATAGTCACACCCATTCGTTTAGGTATTGTCTGGCTGCTTTCCAAGTAGGGAGTTGAGTAGTTGACACAGAGACAGTATGGCCTGCAAAGCCCAAAATATTTGTTATCTGACTTTTTACGGGAAAAGTTTGCTAACCTTTGCCCCAGCCTATAGAGCCCACGAGGGCAGCCCATTTTGTTCATTGCTGCGATCCTTGTGCCTAGCACAATGTTCCCCACAGTAGGTACTCAGTAAATTTGTTGAATGAAGGAAGTGAATTCAAAGTTGAACTTTATTCATTTGCTAGATTACTTTCCATCTTCAGGAATAAAGTAGAAAATGAAATGTGAATTCCTCCAAAGCTTTAATTTTTTTTTCAAGATAAAACCTTTTGTTTGTTATATAGAATTAAAATGATCCAGTTATTTTAACTACTTTTTACAAACATGTATTGACATTTGTCTGATGGAAACTCAGCTTTATTTTTTAAATACATTTTTTTTGAAATTTTACAGAAAAGTTGCAAAGATAGTAGAGTTACTGTATACCCCCACCCAGTTTCCTGCATTGATAACACTTTCTATTACCACGGTATATTGTCACAACTAAGAAACTGACGTTGGTATAATACTACTAACTAAAGTCTAACTTTTATTTGGGTTTTACCAGTTTTTCCAATAAGGTCTTCTATTCCAGGAATCAAGCAGGGTATCACATTACATTTGGTTGTCATGTTTCCCCGGTCTTCTCTATTCTGTGACAGTTTCTCCAAAGCTCCAGTCTTAAATGACAACAATAATAATAGCTAACGTTTATTAAGTGCTTACTATGTGCCAGGCACTGAACTAAGCGCTTTACATCTATCATCTAATTCAGTCCTACCAAAAGCCCTGTGAGGTAGCTATTGTTGTTACTGCTCTTGAAAGATGAAGTTGAGACACGCAGTTTGTGCAAGCTGGGAAACTTGCATAAACTGACAGCAATGATGGTGGGGCCAGGATTCAAAGATAAGCAGTTTGACTCTAGAGCCTATGTGCTACACTGCTTTATGAAATTCAGTTTTGTGTAAGTGGTTGAAATTGCGCTGTGCTTAGGTGCCAGAGGTACAGTGATGCCCCAAGGGAGTTCAAAGTCAAGTGGAATCAGTAAAGAACCACAATAAAGTGATACAGATGCTATGCTAAGAGTATGTCAGGATGCGTGGAGACAGGCCGGGGATGGGAGGTGGGAGACGAGAGGGTTAAGGGAATATCTTAGAGCCTTGAGGCTCAAGGGTGTTCAACGGACCAGCCTCCAGGGAATCGCCTGGGAGCTTGTTAGAAATGCAGAAACTCAGGCCCCGCCCCAGAGTTTATTGAATCCTAATCTGCATTTTAATAAGATCCCCAGGTGATCTGTCTGCACATTCGTTTGAGAAGCACTACCCTAGAGATCAGGATACTGTGGAGTACTGCGTCATTTTCTACAGTTGGCTTCAGCTGTAAAATTTTACAGTACTCGAGCAAGGAGATCTCTAAAGTCCAACCCCTTCGTTTTACAGATGAGGAAATGCCTGGTTAGAGGTAGTGTTAGAGTCCGATTAGGCTGCATGCAAAGAAGAAAGCTGGCTAGGAATTGAACGGACAAGTAGGAAGTTAGCCAAACCTATTTTTGGTATTGGATTGATGTTTCTTTAAACCTGTAAGATAAAACTTCAGAAATGTCTCTAAACACATTTTCTTTTAAGAGTCACTGCATGTTCACTCACAGCAATTTGGGTTTTTAAGTCCACAGCACATTGTTAAGTAGGGATCGTGCCAGGTTTTTCTAGAATTAGGATTTTGTGTTTTTGTGTCTCCGGTGGGATGAGAATGCCTTGTGGCATTCGTCACTGCAGTGGGACCTCTTTATAATGCTCATGTTGCAAAAGGACTGATATTTACCTTTGAAGCGAATTGTGTCGTGTCAGACTGTAGTAGCAGATAGCAAGCACACTGTTGTGCTATGGCAAGCTCACCTTTGCTGGGATGAACTTTGTTATGGCGGAATGGCTACCATGTATCTAGTGTAATCTTCCCACTATCCCCATTTTACTGTTGCAGACACTTAGCAGAAAGATACTGTATTTCTTTGATTCTGAGACACACTCCCCCTCCCACTCCTACATTTTAACACTCTGAAATTGAGATGCATGTTACAGTGCATGAAGATGTCTTAAGGTTTGATGAGATAAAGTCAGCGACAGTAAGTGGAGGAGCTGGTTTTATGATCCAGGCTTATCAGCTTCCAAATCCTGGTCCTTTTCTTTCATACCTTGCTGCTTCCTGAGGCTAAGGCAGCAGCAGAATTAGGACTTAATCAGAGAGGCAGAAATTGACGTTCTGGGGGCACCTGGGTGGCTCAGTCGTTAGGCGTCTGCCTTCGGCTTGGGTCAGGATCCCAGGGTCCTGGGATCGAGCCCCACATCGGGCTCCCTGCTCAGCGGGAAGCCTGCTTCTCCCTCTCCCATTCCCCCTGCTTGTGTTCCCTCTCTCGCTGTGTCTCTCTCTGTCAAATAAATAAATAAAATCTTAAAAAAAAAAAAAAAAGAAATTGACGTTCTGGAATTTCTCCTATCCCACCGCTGCCCCAACATAGTCTCTCAGGAAAAAAACATGTCCATGCCAGTATTACTTTATCCATACCTTGTGATGGCGGTGCTATTTCAGAGTTGAGGTTTTCTGTAGGATTATCCGTTTTTAAATAATTGTGATTTCTTTGACCAGTTAGTGAAAGAAACTTGTTAGTTTCAGAGGATTCTAGTTTTCCCATAGTACCGAAAGGAAAAAAAAAAACCAAAAACCCAACATGTTTAGGTATTTCTTCCTCATACTTGCTCACCTTTCACTCTTACCGTGTTTTGTAAGGTGACAAAGCAGGTCATGATGAAAGTAAAATAGTTCAAGATCAGGCTGACTGCCTTAGAAGATAGAGGTTTTTGAGGAATCCGGGATTAGCATTACTTTATGTAGCATATAAGTCAGCCGCTTCTTTGGTATATTGATTTGCTTGCATTTTAAGAAAGAAAAATGGGCTACAATTTCCTTAATGGTATGCTTCTGGTTTATAGATCGTTCTTATATGCGATTAACAGAAAAGGAAGATGAATCACTGCCAATAGATGTAAGTTGGTCATTTATATTCCGTTAAAATATATTTTAAAAATTAGCCACATAGCTTATAATAATTTTTTACTGGTTCTTGTTCTCTTAAATTTTTCCAGACATGAAGTAACATCTGTTCACTACTTTACTCTTTGTCACTCATTGTGAAACCCGAAGATTTGGAAACAAAAGATTTCTCTGTTTGGTTTCTAGAACGGTAGTTTAAGTAGTCGTTCTAGAAGTTGCTCTGTTCATAGTCTGAGATGGACTTAAGTTGATTACTTGACTTTATTTCTTAGCAAAGTTCCTTTTTATGTAAAGTCTAAGAACAAGCAAAACTAAACATTGTTTAGGGACATATATGTAGGTGGCAAAAGTAAGGAAAAACAAGGAAGTGTTTTTTTTTTTTAAGCTGAAATGATATGTGAACTTCACTCACCATTTTTTTTTTTATCTTTAATGGATTTTAAATGACAAGATAGTAACTTCTTTGTAACAGAATCAAGCAGTAAGCATAAAAAGTAAAACTGACCCCATACAATAAAAAAGAGAAGTGACCTCACTGCTCAGCAGTTCTGCTGCTACTCCCACCAGTTTGGAGTATGTCAGTAGTTCAGCTCTCCTCCTGTGCATAAACAGCATTCTTTATTTACATTATGTATAGTTTTACCTAATCAAAACAGTTTTTCTTTTAAAAAGTTATTGTCTATGTGTATATATGTATAGTTTTATAATCAGCCTTTTATTACTTAACATTATTTATCTTGACGTAACTTCATGATAACTCATAGATTTGCCACATTCTTGTTAATGGTGCCTATGATTGCATTGTATGAAATAGGTCTTGGTTCACTGGTGGCAGGAATGTGTAAGCTGGTATAACATGTGACATTAGTTTTAATTCAGAAAGTTAGAGTAATAGCTTGTGGCTAATTTTGACTTTAGTTGTCTGTAATGAAAGTTATGATAGATGGGACTACTAAGCCACTCTCCTATCACCTTTGCTTTGCTTTGTGGTAGATTACCCCTCCCCTAATACCACACACATATTCATTTATATCTACTTAAAATGGCTTGCTTCTGTTTACAAACTGGGAAATCTGAAAAATGCAGAAAAATCACAGTCAAGAAAATCAAATGTGCCTGTAATCCCAGGTTGGTTAATATCAAACACTGCAAGTTTTTGCTTGCACAACCTCTTTGGAAAACGTTTTGGTATTACCTAGTGAAGTTGAATGTGTGTATACTCTCCCCCAGTGATTCTACTCGCATGTGCCAGGAGACCTACTGCAGGATATCTCTATAGGCATTGTGAAAGTAACACACAGGAAACAGCCCACATAGCCATCAGCAGTGGAATGAATAAATTGTGGTATTTTCATATAATGAAATATAGAATACAAAGAAAATGAATGGCTCTAAGGATATACTACAACAGGGATGAATCTCACAAAGTTCAAAGATGGGAAAAAGTAAGCAATATACTTTTTAGAGGTACATACATATCTGGTAAAATTATAAAGAAAAGCCTTAGAGAATTGATTAATATACAATTCAGTACAATAGTTAACTATAGTTAACTATTGTTAACTTTGAGGGGGTTGGTGAAGGAAATAATTGGAGAGGGACACGTGGGACTAGAAAGGGCCTGGTAGTTTTATTTCTTAAGCTGGGTGGTGGGTCCAGGGGTATTCTTCTTTATACTCTATGATATTTAACAATAATACATTAACAAAGTCTTAGTTGCTCTTGGAAGCAGGTAATAGTTGGTAACTGAGTTCTGAATGGCTCAGTACCTGTTTGCTATTTGAGCAAAACCTAGAAGTATTTTTGCAGCTGCTCCACAGAATTTGTAGAAGATTTTATTGTGTCTGAGTTCAAATTATTTAAAGTGAGAATTGACTCGATAGGATCTGGGAGAAATACGTGTCAGAGGCTAAAAAGAGATGGAGGGAAAATTACAAATTTTTATGATAACATTTGTATGTTATTTGATAATCTCAATCTTTATACTCACAGATAGTTCTTCAGACACTTCTGGCCTTTGCAGTTACCTGTTATGGTATAGTTCATATTGCAGGAGAGTTTAAAGACATGGATGCCACTTCAGAACTAAAAAATAAGTAAGTCCTTCCCTTTTCATAGGCACTTCGTTTCATAGGGGTTTTGCTTCATTTACATAATTTAAAATGTATGTTTTCTGGTACATAAAAGTTGATTTTGTTTTTACATTTTGATGATGCAGTTTGTGTGAATAATGAGGTCAAAATATTGAGGCAGTGTTTGATATGATAGAAAAATGGAAGTTGAATGACAGATTATTGACATTAGACTCAGATGTCATGTTATATTTGCTTAAAATTATTTATTGGTTCGATGGGTGGAAGGGGATAGACAAATAGGAAGATATTCCCTCAGAAATGTTTTCCTTTCATCTTTTCTTTTTTCCTTCCCTCCCCTCCCACCCCCCTCCCTTCCATTTTTTCCTCTTTTTATCCTCATGTCCCAGCTTAGTCTTTGGAAGAATAGGGGTTTTTGGTCCGTTTCCTCTATCACTTGAGCCTAGACTGTGACCTAAACTGCTCTTTGGCCTTTTCCTATTCTTGGATTACAGTATATTTGTTATTCTGCTTTCTCTTTTCTCCTGTGCTGCTTCTAAGCTATTTTCTTGAGCTTGGCTTGCTTTTCTTTTCCATATTGCTTACTTTCATAAAGTTATCCTTTAGCTTTGTTCAATTCCATCTCTGGACTTTACCTACCTTCTTGAGCCTGGAAATTTTAACCCTTTACAATGTGTCCTCAGAAGGGTTCACAATAAACATTTATTTGTTAGAAGAAACTCACCCCCTTGTTACTTTTACTTTTCAATTTACATTTTAAATAGTCACATGTCAGGCTTCCTGTTTTATGTAGGAGTATGCTTGGAATTTTAGGTGGGCTGACTTTGAGATTTGAGTTTTTATCAAGGCAGAGTTGTCTTTGTTCAGGAAAATAATGTTTAAACAAACCAGTACTAAAAACCGTACACTTAGGTGTTTGTGAACTTTTTTCGACTACACATATCTCATTGGGAAAGAAGAAAGGATACTCTACTATTACCACCCACTATAGTTCTTACAAAGAGTCTACCAAGAATCACAGGCAAAGGGCCAGGAAAGAAAGAAGTAAAACAGAATGGCATTAAGTAGGTGGTAGCAAAATATATAAATTTAGTAGGTGGTAGCAAAATATATGAGTTTGGACAACAGTAGGTACAGAAGGGCCAAAGGAGTTTTTTTGTTGTATTTGAAAGATTCTTGGAAACAGATCTATGAAATGATCATATTGCTTGAATAGTGAGGGCCAAATGAGAATAATCAAAGGTACAATCTATGTACTGGTTTTTTAAAAGACTATTTGGCATGGGCTAGCTAGTTTTAAGATTTATAGAAGTGATTAAAGCTGAGCGATTATTTGTGCTATAGTCATAGGCATCTTGGAAGGAGTGGCTGAAAGAAAGATTTGAGAGCTTTATGTTGCTTTTCCAGGTTTCTTATTTTCCTTGTACAGGAAAAAAAAAATCACGAGACCCAATATGATTGCCATGTATAGCCTGATCTCATGGATTTAAACTTAGTTAAGAGTATAACCCATAGCAAATTCATAATTCATTAGAAGCCTGCTTGTTTTCAAATAGGCTTTTGTACAGGTGTATCTAAAGTGGATACTTTGTTTTTTTCTTTTAAGGACATTTGACACATTAAGGAATCACCCATCATTTTATGTATTTAACCATCGTGGTCGAGTACTGTTCCGGCCTTCGGATACAACAAACTCTTCAAATCAAGATGCATTGTCCTCGAACACATCATTGAAGTTACGAAAACTTGAATCACTGCGTCGTTAAGATTTTTACAAATTATAATAACAGGACAGGACACAGAGCTGGAATATTGGAGTTTGGGGTATAAAACACTCCCCCCATCATCAGTATTTATATTATATTGATCTTTCAGACCTAATTAAAAAAAGTCTGTGGCTCTTGTTTGTACACTGTTAATCAAATCGTTAATGGAGCATAAGTTATCTGTGAAATGAGTCTTTGATCTTTCATAGAGAGAATTCTTTTTTCCATTTAAAACAAATTCATATCATTTGTAAAAGTCACTGTTTTGAACACATTACTTTGAAAAATGTTGATGATTTTGTAATTATTTATTTTCTTAGATTTCTTTTCTTTTGCACTTGAGTTTTTAGGATCCTTTTGGAAATAATGTGACTACTGCATTTTGCAGCATGAATGAAAGTTAAAAAGTCTTCGGTTCTTAACAACAAACGGACTTCTCTAAAGAGACCAAAATGGTGGCTTATCAGTTTTTCTTACGACCCCTAAAAAGTGGCTCTGCTTCAGCAGATGCTTGCCAGTTTTTAATTTCTCATGACTTCTTGCCCCACCCCACTCCCATATACCTCCTAACATCGACTGTCTTGTTTCATCACTTCTCTGGGGTTCTGTGTGCAGTGAGCAATTCTTGTGTCAGAAATTCTTTGTCATAAATATATTTAACAAATTCAACTTGCTGTAAAGCTACTTGTGTTCTCTTCATTTCTCTGTCAGAAATTTCCCCAGTTGGTTATGTAGTTAAAGAATAGTTGAAGACAGACCAAAAGACCATTCATGATTTCATGGATTATCCTGCCTGTGTAGAAAAATAGTAATCACTGAAGAAAACTGATTACTTGTCATCAGCCAGTTTAACTTATTCAAAGTCTCTGTTATTTTATTGCTTACTAAACTAGCAAATTAGTAAAACTAAAGGAAACTTCTCATCAAAGGTAGGCTTCAAAGGCATTGGGACAAATATGTTTTAAATATTTGGAACTAATATCTTCAATGAAAAACAAAGTCATTTAAGAAACTGTTTTATAGCTTCGGATTCGTTAGCAGGCTTAGAGTTTTTCCATCTTTGTTGGATGCTGCCGAAGTTGAGGATGAGGGGACAGAGTAGACTTTTTTTAGAAACAGTAATTTTGGGTTTAGGGGATTTGGCTAGCCCTTTGATCTGCAGGGAGCTTAATATTTCTTTGTAAAGGAGGTTGCTTTTGTTGAACTGTACAGGTATGAAAACATTGCTTTCTTTGAATTGTATAGGTGCAAAGGGAATAACTATGCAGACTTGAAAAGCAACACGCTTTCGGCAAGAGTCATAAGAGGCCCTTCTGCTGGATGGCATTTTTCCCATTAGAAATGGACTTCAGCTCTTCTATTCTGCCTGGTAACACACAGCCCCAAAGCACGAGACTCTTTTGTCATTGAGCTTTTACTGTTGTTTAGTTTTGTTTTGCCAACCCAATATATCAATGGAACACTGACTCTGCTCTCTAAGGAGAACAAAGTTAGAAATCTGCTGATAGCCCAAGATAATTTAGAAATGAGTTAAAAATGGAATTCAGGGGTTAATGTGATAATTAAATCAAAATATTGTATGAGAGGGGCGCCTGGGTGGCTCAGATGGTTAAGCGTCTGCCTTCGGCTCAGGTCATGATCTCAGGGTCCTGGGATCGAGTCCCGCATCGGGCTCCCTGCTCCTTGGGAGCCTGCTTCTCCCTCTGCCTCTCTCTCTCTGTCTCTGTCTCTCATGAATAAATAAATAAAATCTTAAAAAATATATATATATATATTGTATGAGAAACAAGCTCCTTCCGTCAGGCTGGCCTGCCATTTCCTCAGGTGTGACTTGATTCGAAAGGGCCTTTTCTCTTTGGGGGCTGCCTTCCTTTTTTATTATTTACATACCTTCAATGCAGCCATTTAAAGGGTACAGTTCAATGGTTTTATCATATATTCGCAAAGTTGTACAACCACTACCACAATGCATTTTAGGACATTTCTATCACCCCCAGAAGAAACCCTGTACCCTTTAGCGGGTGCCTCTCATATCCCCCTGCCCCAGTGCCTCCCAGCTCCGGGCAACCACTAATGTACTTTCTGCCTCTCTAGATTCGCCTATTCTGGTCCTTTAATATGAATGGATTCTCACAATGTCTGGTCTTTAGTGACTGGCTTCCCAAGTATAGTTTTGTTCTATGTGGAGTGAGAACTTCTCCCCTTGAGAACTGTGATCGCTGTGAAAGGAAGTGGTTGGTCAAATCAGTAGATGTGGAGTAGGGAGGGCCAGGCACTTACCACGTTTCTTCGTCAATCTTAGGCTGAATGGCTTTTCCTCATAACCAAGCACTCGTGATATATGACTATTTATAATATTTTGGCTAGTCTCTAGAATGGATATTGAAATCTTTGCCTGCCCAGTCAGGAAAGTCCCAGTAAAAATGATGCCCCATAGTTTGGCAGAGAATTGACATAGTTTTCAGGTGCATCTAACTTTGCTAGCAGCTTGTGTACCTCGGGCCAGGTGAGCTTCCCAAATTTCTTCTTCAATTTCCTCCAATGAATTTCTGTTTTCTTCTTCCAGTGTGTACCATAGGAATAGAGGTGATTTGGGTGCATCGTAACAGTGCTAAATGGATTAAATTCAGAATTTTATTTATAATACTTTGAGACAGTCCATGACTACCTAGGGTAGTCCAAAAAAAATGTAGTGATGTAAGCTAGTTAAGCCTGCAGTTGATTGCGATTTTAGTGACATTCAGAAGTGTGCACTATCGAAGGCTCTCTAGAATATAGGAAGAGACTTCTTAATAACTAGGGAACCAGCCAAATGCTATGGGCTAATGGCCCAGCCACAGAAAATGCAGATCGGCGGATTGGAGACCATGATGCTCTGTAACTCCCTAATGATTGTTTCCAAAGCACTGTGGCTTATTTTTGAGTGGCATGACAGCAGCTTCCTGGTTGTATGTGGCCTGTTTCCATGATGTATTGAGTAGTGTTGTTTGTTGTGAACATCGATGCCTGTAACACCAAGCTAAACACCTCCTTTTGGATATGTTTCCTCTCTTTAAATGGCCTTGCCCTGTCCAATAAATAAATGATTGTCTCACCCTGTTTTTGGTAGTGGTTTTTGTTTTTGTTTTTGTTTTTTAAATCTCATTCTCTTCTCTGTCCCCAGAAAAATGTAAGAGAGAATTTTATGACTGTATTTTTTTTTTCCAAGTGCGATGCTGTTCTACTAAATTCAATGGATACTTTACTTTTTATTGTACATGTGAAGTCGAATTGCAATTTTATGTTTTTTTTAGAGTCTAAATAGAATGTGTAATCTCATTTATATTTCTAAATTATCAAAGGACCTTTGGGGTATAAGAATTTCAGTCCTTGAGTAGCAGTGTCCCATCATTCCATCACAAATTTGTTATAACTTTAGACTTAACGGGAAATCATTATGATTAAAAGCATCAGAGGGCAAATCCAGAGTCTGATGAAAACCCAAGGGGCAGTTCTGGTTTGTAAAACTTGGCACTTATCCAAATCAAGTATTCTTTAAAAAGGGAAAAATAGAGATGATATATGCATGTGGCAAAAACAAAAAAATCAGATGGTACAGAAAGGCATGTCATTAAAACTTGTCCCCTTCCCTCCTGTGCCTAATGCCTCTCTCCAAAGGGAATCAGCTTAGAGTATCCTGTATATTCGTTTGGGGAAAAATTATTTGCCAGCCAATATATATTTTAAAAACTTTACCTTAATGGAATCAGACATTTTTCTGTACGTTGCTGTTTTTTGCTACCTGTGTCTTAAAAGATCTTTCTGTATCAGAATATACAGAAATACCTCAGTATTTTTAATGACCGTGTGGTTTTCCAATGTAGGAATGTGTTACAAATGTTCAAACACTGAGAGGATCTCAGGTTGTTTTCAATATTTTACTATAGCTAAACCATATTGCAGTGAACATAGTTATACATATAATGAGATTATACCCAGAGTTAATTCTTAGCAATAGAATTGCTGGATCAAAGGGTATTTTTCATTTTCAATTAAGTAGTTATTGCCAAATTGTTCTCCAGGAATCTTGGCCCAGTTATTCTCCCACGTATAATTTGTAAGAACAATTATTTCCGAGGCCCACGCTGATACTGGGTACTAAACTTTTGAACATTTGATCATCTGAAATGGAATAAATGATATCTTACATCTTGCGTTAGCTATATTGCATGTTAATGAAGGATATGGAACACATTTTCATGCTTATTGGTTACTTATATTTCATTTTCTGTGAACTGTGTGGTCATGTTCTGTTTTCTATTAGATGATTTGTTTTTTACTGATTTGTATGAGCTCTTTGTAAGCTAAGAAAATTGGTCCATTGTCATATGTTTAAGAATATTTTCCTGAGATTGATTTATTTATTTACTTACTTATGTAGTTAAACTTATCAGTCTTTATGGCTTCAGGGATTCATGCCTTGCTTAAAAAGGCCTTCTTTACATTTAAGAATAAATTTAATGTATTTTTCCAGTACTTTTAAGTTTTTTTTTTAACCTTTAAATCTTTGATTCATTTGGACTTTATTTAGGTAGAAGGAATGAGGTAAGGATTCAACACTTTTCTCCCCAAATGGCTATCTGGTTATCGCAGCCCCACTTTTTTGCTTTTTTCCCCACACTGATTTGAAAAGCCATCTTCATCCATACATTGAATTTCCGTGTATATTTAGATCTGTTTCTGAGCTCTGAAGTCTGTTTCAAAAATTACCAGTCTTTTAATTATTTTAAGTTGCTATACACTTTCATATTTCACATTGCTAGTCCACACTGCATTATTACTATTTTCAGGACTTTTTCCTAGTTATTCATGCATGTTTATATTTCCAGAGGGCCTTTAGTATCATTTTGTCCATTTCTAGAATCCTACTGATATTTTTCTAAAATTTTACTTTGAAAAATTTCAAACTTACAGAAATCATGAAAGAATACTATGAGGAATGCCAATACATTTTTCATTTGGTCACCATTCCTAACATTTTGCCACTTTTGCTTTTGTTGTCTCCAAACGTGCTTTTGTCCCCTCCTGAATAGTTTATGGTTAAGTGTGGACTTCATAATCACACTTCACAACACCATGACATCCCTAAATACGTCAGTGGTCTGTTCCTATAAGGATGAGGACATTTCCCATTTAACCACATACCACTCTCACCCTGAAGAAAATGGTGAATCATCCAATATTATATTCAAATTTCCCCATGTATCCCCAGAATGACTTTCATAGCTGCCCCCACCAATGTTCGCAAACTATATTGTTCAGTGTGTCTCTCCAGTTTCTTATTTTAAACAGTCCCCCTACTTCTTTTTTTAAAATGATATTTTCTAAATAAACTTTATTTTTCAGAACTGTTTTAGAGTTATAGAAAAATTGGGAAGATGGTGCAGAGTTCCCGCATACCCCATACTCAGTTTCCCCTACTGCTAACATCTTAGGTTACCATGAGACATTTGGTACAAGCAAGGAACCAATATTGATACATTATTGTAAACTACAGTTATTATTCAAGTTTCTGCAGATTTTACTTAATGTCCTTTTTGTGTTCCAGGCCTCCATCCAGGATACTGCATTACATTTAATTGTGAGTCTTCTTAGGTTTTTCTTGGCTGTGACAGTTTCTTATACTGTCCTTGTTTCTGATGACAGCTTTTTTTTTTTTTTAAGATTTTCTTTGAGAGAGAGAGCACAAGTTGGAGGGAGGGGCAGAGGGAGAGGGAGAAACAGACTCCGTGCTGAACAGGGAGCCCAACACGGGGCTCGATCCCAGGACCCTGGAATCATGACCTGAACTGAAGGCAGATGCTTAACCGACTGAGCCACCCAGGCACCCCGACCTTGACAACTTTGAAGAATACTGGTCAGGTATTTGGTAAAATATTCCTTTGTTGGGATTTGTCTGACGTTTTTACCATTATTATACTAGGATTATGTGTGCTATTGTTACCATATCAAGGGTGCATATTTATTAACATGACTTATCACTTGATATTATTCTTGATCACCTAAGTTAGTGTTTGTCAGGTTTCTCCACTGTGAAGCTACCCTTTTTTCCCCATTTCCATACTGTACTCTTCGGAAGGAAGTCACTATGCATAGCCCATACTTAGGGAGTGGGGAATTATGCTCCACCTCCTCAAGGATGGAGAATCTACATCAATTATTTGGCATTCTTCTGCACAGGAGGTATATTTCTTCTTTGCCACTTATTAATTTATTCAGTCATTTATTTATAGGAGTTTGGGCTCTTGGATTTTTTTTTTTTATACTTTGGGTTATCCTGTAACACTGCTTTATTTTGAGGTTGAAATTATTCCAGTTTTGGACATTGAGAGCTTTTCATTGGGCTCCTGTTCCCTTTGACATACTCGTAAAAAATTTTTTGGACTTTTTTGTTTTGTTTTGAGCACTTCCATACTTTCTGGCACTACAAGATGTCCCAGGCTCATCGTGTATACTTCCTTCCCCAGTCCTAGAATCAGTCTTTTCTCCAGGGAACCTGGTTCCTTTTACAGAAGAATGGTATTAGAAACCAGGATCTGGGCCCTAGTTGTACCCAGTGCTGCTGGCGTTTTGTTGCTTCGAGGCCCTTTCAGCTGACAGAGCAAGAAAATATGTGTGTGCGCTAACCTGTGCATATATACATATATAAATATTTCTGGATGTAACCTCTGTATTTCTATTACGTGAAACACGAATTCATACTGATATTCCATCCATCACCACATAAATCTTTCTAACCACCTCTCCTGCTGATCTGCAGACTTCCACACCCACACTAAGAAACCTGGTTCCCACCATCTGCTACCCGTTTACTTGAATTGTTAAATCCAGTATATACACAATTTCAGAAACATTACCCTGTACTCCCATGGAAGACAACATTTCCAACTACAGCAGCGATTGTGTGTGTGTTTGCCGTTATTTTACAGACCCCACTCATTTCCAAAGTTACTTAAGTCAGCACCCCCTCTCCTTCAGTATGTTTGTTTCACAAGTCTAATACAGTTAGATTGCTTTGTCACATTCTGCCTTCTGCCCTGGAATTCCCCTGACCTCAATGATTTCTAAAAATTTGTATACACCAGGGTTCACTTTTTGTGCCCTGAAGTTCAACAGATTTTGACAAATCCATAATGTTATGTATCCACAATTGCATTATCATATAGAATAATTTCATAGCTCTAAAAATCCCTTGTGCTTCACCTATTCAACCCTGTCCCTCTCCCTGGAGCCCCAGTTTACCACTGGTCTTTTTACTGTCTCTATAGTTTTGCCTTTTCCAGAATGTCGTATAGCTGGAATCATGCAGTATGTGGCCTTTTTAGACTGGCTTCTTTTACTTAGCAGTATACATTCAAGATTCCTCCATGTCTGTCTGTGGCTTAGCTCATTTTTTAAAATCTCTGAATACTAGTCCATTGAATGAATGTTCCACAGGTTGTTTACCCATCACCCATTGAAGGACATCTCCAGTTTTTGACGATTGTGAATAAAGCTGCCCTAAACACTTGCATGCATGTTTTTGTGTGAACATAATTATTCCTATTAGTTGGTAAATACCAAGGTCCATGATTGCTGGATCATATGGTAAGATTATGTTCGGCTTTATAAGAAATTGCCATGCTGTCTTCCAAAGTGGCTGTACCATTTGGCATTCCCATCAACAGTGAATGAGAGTTCCTGTTGCTCTGCATCCTCATCAGCTGCTGGCATGGTCAGGTCTTAGCTATTCTAATAGGTATCCTGTTTTATTTGCTTATTTATTTTAAAAAAGATTTATTTATTTGAGAGAAGGAGAGAGTAGGGGGAGGGGCAGAGGGAGAGGGAGAGAGTCACAAGCAGACTCCTTGCTAAGTGCAGAGCCTGACACCAGGCTTGATCTCATGACCCTGAGATCACAACCTGAGCCAAAACCAAGAGTCAGTCGCTTAACTGGGTCAGCCACCCAGGCGCCGCATGATATCTTGTTTTAATTTGCAGTTCCCTAATGACAAATGATGTTGAGCCTCTTTTCATACGCTTATTTGTCAGCTGTATTTGTCTTTTGGTGAAGTATCTATTTGGATCTTTTTCCCAATTTCAAATTGTGTTGTTTGTTTTCTTACTGAGTTTTAAGAATTTTTTGTATATTTTGAATGCAAGTCTTTTAGAGACGTGTGTTTTTAAAATATTTTCTCCCAGTCTGTAGTTTGTCTTTTCATTCTCTTGACAGTGTCTATCACAGTAAAGTTTTTCATTTTAGTGAAGTCCAACTTATCAAATTTCTTTTATGAATCATGCTTTTGGTTTTGAATTTAAAAGCTCATTTCCAAAGGGAGAGAGGGAAACAAACCATAAGAGCCTCTTTTTTCCAAAGATTGATTGATTTATTATAGAAAGAGAAAGAGCAGGGGGAGGGGCAGAGGGAGAGAGAATCTTTGAGCAGACTCCCCACTGAGCATGGAGCCTGATATGGGGCTCAGTCTCAGGACCCTGAGATCATGACCTGAGCTGAAATCAAAGATCGGATGTTCAAGCAGCTGAGCCACCCAGGCACCCTACCATAAGAGACTCTTAACGATAGAGAACAAACGGAGGGTTGATGGAGGGAGGTAGGTGGGGGATATGCTAGATAGGGGATGAGGATTAAGGAGGGCACTTACGATGAGCACTGGGTGTTGTATATAAGTGGTGAATCACTGAATTCTACTCCAGAAACCAATATTGCATTGTATGTTCACTAAGTAAAATTTAAATTAAAAAAATTAAAAAAATAAAAGCTCATTTCCAAACCCACGGTCTTCTAGGTTTTCTCCTATGTTTTCTTATAGAAGTTTCATTGTTTTTCACTTTATATTTAGACCTATGATCCATTTTGTGTTAATTTTTGTGAAAGATATAAGATCTGTGTCTAGGTTCCTTTTTTTCCATATGAACATCCAATTGTTCCAACACCATTTGTTGAAAACACTACGCTTTCCTCATTGAATTGCCTTTGCTCCTTTGTCAAAAATCAGTTGACTGTATGTGTGGCTTTATTTCTGGTTTGTCTACTCTGTTCCATTCTTCTATATGTCTACTCTTTCATCAATACCATACTCTTGACTACTGTAGCTTTATACTAAGTCTTGAAATTGGGTAGTGTGAGTCCTCCATCTTTGTTCTTATTTTTCAGTATTATGTTGGCTATTCAGGGTCTTTCATCTTTCCCTATAATCTTTACAGCCAGTTTGTCAATAACTACAAAATAACTTGCTGAGATTTTGATTGGAATTACTTTGAATCTGTAAATCATGTTAGACAGAACTGATATCTTATTAATACTGAATCTTGTTTGAAATCAAACAAAATATGTACAGGATCTCTATGTGGAAAACCACAAAATCTATATAATAAAGAGATACTCCATGTTCACAAATTGGAAGATTCGGTATCAATAAGATATCAATTCTGTCTAACATGATCTATGGATTCAAAGTAATTCCAATCAAAATCTCAGCAAGTTATTTTGTAGTTATTGACAAACTGGCTGTAAAGATTATAGGGAAAGATGAAAGACCCTGAATAGCCAACACAATACTGTTGTTGCAAATGGTATTGTTTTTTAAATTTCAAATTCCAGTTTTAATTGTTGGTATTTAGGAAAGCAATTGAGTTTTGTATGCTAACCTTATATCTTACTCTTTGTTATCATTATTTTTATTTTTTATTTTTTTCTCTATTTATTTATCTTTTTGATGTAGTGTTCCCTGATTCATTGTTTGCATATAACACCCAGTGCTCCATTCAATACGTGCCCTCTTTAATACCCATCCCCCCACCCCCCTCCCCTTTGGAACCCTCAGTTTGTTTCTCAGCGTCCATAGTATCTCATGGTTCGTCTCCCCCTCTGATTCCCCCCCCTTCATTTTTCCCTTCCTACTATCTCCTTTTTTTTTTTTTTTTTTAACATATAATGTATTATTTGTTTCAGAGGTACAGGTCTGTGATTCATCAGTCTTACACAGTTCACAGTGCTCACCATAGCACATACCCTCCCCAATGTCCATCACCCAGCCACCCCATCCCTCCCCCCCCCCACCATTCCAGCAACCCTCAGTTTGTTAACTGAGATTAAGAATTCCTCATATCGGGAGCAAGATGGCGGAGGAGTAGGAGACCTAAATTTCATCTGGTCCCAGGAATTCAGCTGGATAGGGATCAAACCATTCTGAACACCTACAAACTCAACAGGAGATCGAAGAAAAGAATAGCAACAACTCTCTGAACAGAAAAGCGACCACTTTCTGGAAGGTAGGACGTGCGGAGAAGTGAATCCGAGGTGATATTCGGGAGGATAGCCGGGGGGGGGAGGGGGCCTCCGTTGGCCGCTTCTGGCAAGTGATAGAGCTGCGGAGCACAAAATCGGAACTTTTAGAAGTCGCCTCCGCTGAGGGACGTCACTCCGGTGGCTAAGCGGCGGGGGGGAACCCTCGTGGGACAGTGTGGTCTCAGGACCTTTGGGGTCACAGAAAGACTGAGGGTGCCTGAGTGCAGCACCCAGGGATCGGAGCGGGGAAGCCGGCTGCAGAGACGGAGCCCAGGCACGGGCTCTCAGCTCGGGATTGCCATAAACCGTGATCCACGGCACAGTCGGGCCACTGCTCCTCCAGCAGGGACCCAGAAGCGGCAGATCCGGGGAGACTCCCCTTCCTCCCCTGGGAGGAGCGGCGCAGGAGCGCACCACAGGGATCTGCTGGGTCTGGAGACCACACGGGGTCGGGTGCCAGAGATAGAAACGCTCGGTCACAGGCCGGGTGAGCACGGAGTGTGGCTGGAGACCAGGAAATGGGAGTGACTGACTGCTTTTCTCTGGGGGTGCATTGAGGAGCGGGGCCCCAAGTTCTCGGCTCCTCCGGGGCAGAGATTGGGAGGCCGCCATTTTCACTCTCTGCCTCCAAAGCTGTACGGAAAGCTTGCAGGGAACAAAAGCTCCCGAGAGCAAACCCAAGCAGATTACTTAGCCCGGACCGGGCAAGGGCGGGGCAATTCCGCCACCGGCAAAGACATTTGGGAACCACGGCAACAGGCCCCTCCCCCAGAAGATCAGTGAGAACAGCCAGCCAAGACCAAGTTTACTGATTAATGAGAATGGCAGAACTCCAGCGCTAGGGGAATACTGCACATAGAAACCATGGCTTTTTTTACCATGATTCTTTAGTCTTTCAAAGTTAAATTTTTTTTAACTTTTTTTTTTGAATTTTTCTTTTTTCCTTTTTCAACCAACATCTTATCAATCCCTTTTTTAAAAAATATTTTTATTTTTCATTCTTAGAGTCATATTCTATCCCTTCATCATATCAACCCTTATTTTTGTACATATATAAGTTTTTCTTTCTTTAAAATTTTGGGAGGCACTTTCTTCTAACAGACCAAAATATACCCAAAATCTAGTGTGTGACACTGATCTATGCACCAGCCTGATCATATTTGATCATATTCTGTTTTATTTTGTTTTGTTTTGTTCTGTTTTTGTTTGTTTTTATCTTTTTCTTTTTTCTTTCTTTCCCTTTCTTTTCCCCCCGGGTTCAGGTCTTTTCTGATTTGTTTAGAGTATATTTTCTGGGGATGTTGTTACCATGTTAGCATTTTGTTCTCTCATTCACCTATTCTCCTCTGGACAAAATGACAAGACAGAAAAAAATCACCTCAACAAAAAGAACAAGAGGTAGTACCGACTGCCAGGGACCTACTCAGTACGGACATTAGTACGATGTCGGATCTAGAGTTCAGAGTCATAACTTTAAAGATACTAGCTGGGCTTGAAAAAAAGCATGGAAGATACTAGAGAAACCCTTTCTGGAGAAATAAAAGGACGAAAATCTAACCAAGTTGAAATAAAAAAGGCTATTAATGAGGTGCAATCAAAAATGGGGGTGCTAACTGCTAGGATAAATGAGGCAGAAGAGAGAATCAGTGATATAGAAGACCGAATGATGGAAAATAAAGAAGCTGAGAAAAAGAGAGATAAACAACTACTGGATCACGAGGGCAGAATTCAAGAGATAAGTGATATCATAAGATGAAACAACATTAGAATAATTGGGATCCCAGAAGAAGAAAGAGAGAGAGGGGCAGAAGGTATATTGGAGCAAATTATAGCAGAGAACTTCCCTAATTTGGGGAAGGAAATAGGCATCAAAATCCAGGAGGCACAAAGAACCCCTCTCAAAATCAATAAAAATAGGTCAACACCTCGACATCTAATAGTAAAACTTACGAGTCTCAGAGACAAAGAGAAAATCCTGAAAGCAGCTCGGGAGAAGAGATATGTAACCTATGATGGTAGAAACATTAGATTGGCAACAGACCTATCCACAGAGACCTGGCAGGCCAGAAAGGACTGGCATGATATATTTAGAGCACTAAATGAGAAAAATATGCAGCCAAGAATACTATATCCAGCTAGGCTGTCATTGAAAATAGAAAGGAGAGATAAAAAGCTTCCAGGACAAACAAAAACTAAAGGAATTTGCAAACACGAAACCAACCCTACAAGAAATATTGAAAGGGGTCCTCTAAGCAAAGAGAGAGCCTAAAAGCAACATAGACCAGAAAGGAACACAGACAATATACAGTAACAGTCACCTTATAGGCAATACAATGGCACTAAATTCATATCTTTCAATAGTTACCCTGAATGTGAATGGGCTAAATGCCCCAATCAAAAGACACAGGCTACCAGATTGATTAAAAAACAAGACCCATCGATATGCTGTCTGCAAGAGACTCATTTTAGACCCAAAGACACCTCCAGATTGAAAGTGAGGAGGTGGAAAACCATTTACCATGCTAATGGACACCAAAAGAAAGCTGGGGTGGCAATCCTTCTATCAGACAAATTAGATTTTAAACCAAAGACTGTAATAAGAGATGGAGAAGGACACTATATCCTACTTAAAGGGTCTATCCAACAAGAAGATCTAACAATTGTAAATATCTATGCCCCTAACATGGGAGCAGCCAATTATATAAGGCAATTAATAACAAAAGTAAAGAAACACATCAACAACAATACAATAATAGTGGGGGACTTTAACACCCCCCTCACTGAAATGGACAGATCATCTAAGCAAAAGATCAACAAGGAAATAAAGACTTTAAATGACACACTGGACCAAATGGACTTCACAGACATATTCAGAACATTTCATCCCAAAGCAATGGAATACACATTCTTCTCTAGTGCCCATGGAACATTCTCCAGAATAGATCACACCCTAGGTCAAAAATCAGGTCTCAACTGGTACCAAAAGATTGAGATCATTCCCTGCCTATTTTCAGACCACAATGCTTTGAAACTAGAAGTCAATCACAAGAGGAAAGTCGGAAAGAACTCAAATACATGGAGGCTAAAGAGCATCCTACTAAAGAATGAATGGGTCAACCAGGAAATTAAAGAAGAATTAAAAAAATTCATGGAAACCAATGAAAATGAAAACACAATGGTTCAAAACCTTTGGGATGCAGCAAAGGCAGTCCTAAGAGGAAAGTATATAGCAATACAAGGCTTTCTCAAGAAACAAGACAGTTCTCAAATACACAACCTAACCCTACACCTAAAGTAGCTGGAGAAAGAACAGCAAATAAAGCCTAAACCCAGCAGGAGAAGAGAAATAATAAAGATCAGAGCAGAAAGCAATGAAATAGAAACCGTAAGAACAGTAGAACAGATCAACAAACCTAGGAGCTGGTTCTTTGAAAGAATTAACAAGATTGATAAACCCCTGGCCAGACTTACCAAAAAGAAAAGAGAAATGACCCAAATCAACAAAATCATGAATGAAAGAGGAGAGATCACAACCAACACCAAAGAAATACAAACAATTATAAGAACATATTATGAGCAACTATATGCCAGCAAATTAGATAACTTGGAAGAAACAGATGCATTCCTAGAGATGTATCAACTACCAAAACTGAACCAGGAAGAAATAGAAAACCTGAACAGACCTATAACCACTAAGGAAATTGAAGCAGTCATCAAAAATGTCCCAACAAACAAAATCCCAGGGCCAGATGGCTTCCCAGGGGAATTCTACCAAACATTTCAAGAAGAATTAATACCTATTCTTCTGAAACTGTTCCAAAAAATAGAAATGGAAGGAAAACTTCCAAACTCGTTTTCTGAGGCCACCATTACCTTGATCCCCAAACCAGACAAAGACCCAATCAAAAAGGAGAATTACAGACCAATATCCTTGATGAGCATGGATGCAAAAATTCTCACCAAAATACTAGCTAATAGGACCCAACAGTACATTAAAAGGATTATTCACCACGACCAAGTGGGATTTATACCTGGGCTGCAAGGTTGGTTCAACATCTGCAAATCAATCAACGTGATACAATACCTTAACAAAAGAAAGAACAAGAACCATATGATCCTCTCAATAGATGCAGAAAAAGCATTTGACAAAGTACAGCATCCTTTCTTGTTCAAAACTCTTCAGAGTATGGGGATAGAGGGTACATACCTCAATATCATAAAAGCCATCTATGAAAAACCTACAGTGAATATCATTCTCAATGGGGAAAAACTGAGAGCTTTCCCCCTAAGGTCAGGAACGCAGCAGGGATGTCCACTATCACCACTGCTATTCAACACAGTATTAGAAGTCCTAGCCACAGCAATCAGACAACAAAAAGAAATAAAAAACATCCAAATCGGCAAAGAAGAAGTCAAACTCTCACTCTTTGCAGATGATATGATCCTTTATGTGGAAAACGCAAAAGACTCCACCCCAAAACTGCTAGAACTCATACAGGAATTCAGTAAAGTGGCAGGATATAAAATCAATGCACAGAAATCAGTGGCATTCCTATACACCAACAACAAGACAGAAGAAAGAGAAATTAAGGAGTCAATCCCATTTACAATTGCACCCAAAACCATAAGATACCTAGGAATAAATCTAACCAAAGAGGCAAAGGATCTGTACTCAGAAAACTATAAAATACTCATGAAAGAAATTGAGGAAGACACAAAGAAATGGAAAAACGTTCCATGCTCATGGATTGGAAGAACAAATATTGTGAAGATGTCAATGCTACCTAGAGCAATCTACACATTCAATGCAATCCCCATCAAAATACCATCCACTTTTTTCAAAGAAATGGAACAAGTAATCCTAAAATTTGTATGGAACCAGAAAAGACCCCGCATAGCCAGAGGAATGTTGAAAAAGAAAAGCAAAGCTGGTGGCATCACAATTCCGGACTTCCAGCTCTATGACAAAGCTGTCATCATCAAGACAGTACGGTACTGGCACAAAAACAGACACATCAATCAGTGGAACAGAATAGAGAGCCCAGAAATGGACCCTCAACTCTATGGCCAACTAATCTTCAACAAAGCAGGAAAGAATGTCCAATGGAAAAAAGACAGTCTCTTCAACAAACGGTGTTGGGAAAATTGGACAGCCACATGCAGAAGACTGAAACTGGACCATTTCCTTACACCACACACAAAAATAGACTCAAAATGGATGAAAGACCTCAATGTGAGACAGGAGTCCATCAAAATCCTTAAGGAGAACACAGGCAGCAACCTCTTCGACCTCAGCCACAGCAACTTCTTCCTAGAAACATCGCCAAAGGCAAGGGAAGCAAGGGCAAAAATGAACTATTGGGACTTCATCAAGATAAAAAGCTTTTGCATGGCAAAGGAAACAGTCAACAAAACCAAAAGACAACCGACAGAATGGGAGAAGATATTTGCAAATGACATATCAGATAAAGGGCTAGTATCCAAAATCTATAAAGAACTTTTCAAACTCAACACCCAAGGAACAAATAATCCAATCAAGAAATGGGCAGAAGACATGAACAGACATTTTTCCAAAGAAGACATCCAAATGGCCAACAGACACATGAAAAAGTGCTCAACATCACTCGGCATCAGGGAAATCCAAATCAAAACCTCAATGAGATACCACCTCACACCAGTCAGAATGGCTAAAATTAACAAGTCAGGAAATGACAGATGTTGGCGGGGATGCGGAGAAAGGGGAACCCTCCTACACTGTTGGTGGGAATGCAAGCTGGTGCAACCACTCTGGAAAACAGTATGGAGGTGCCTCAAAAAGTTGAAAATAGAGCTACCCTAGGACTCAGCAATTGCACTACTGGGTATTTACCCCAAAGATACAAATGCAGTGATCCGAAGGGGTACGTGCACCCCAATGTTTATAGCAGCGATGTCCACAATAGCCAAACTATGGAAAGAGCCAAGATGTCCATCGACAGATGAATGGATAAAGAAGATGTGGTATATATATATACAATGGAATATTATGCAGCCATCAAAAGGAATGAGATCTTGCCATTTGCAACAACGTGGATGGAACTGGAGAGTGTTATGCTGAGCGAAATAAGTCAATCAGAGAAAGACATGTATCATATGACCTCACTGATATGAGGAATTCTTAATCTCAGGAAACAAACTGAGGGTTGCTGGAGTGGGGGTTGGGGTGGGAGGGATGGGGTGGCTGGGTGATAGACATTGGGGAGGGTATGTGCTATGGTGAACGCTGTGAATTGTGCAAGACTGTTGAATCACAGATCTGTACTTCTGAAACAAATAATGCAATATATGTTAAGAAAAAAAAAAGAAGAAGATAGCAGGAGGGGAAGAATGAAGGGGGGGGAAATCGGAGGGGTAGACGAACCATGAGAGATGATGGACTCTGAAAACAAACTGAGGGTTCTAGAGGGGAGGGGGGTGGGAGGATGGGTTAGCCTGGTGATGGGTATTAAAGAGGGCACGTTCTGCATGGGGCGCTGGGTGTTATGCACAAACAGTGAATCATGGAACACTACATCAAAAACTAATGATGTAATGTATGGTGATTAACATAACAAAATATTTAAAAATAGAATTCCTCATATCAGTGAGATCATATGATACATGTCTTTCTCCGATTGACTTATTTCGCTCAGCATAATACCCTCCAGTTCCATCCACATTGTTGCAAATGGCAAGATCTCATTCCTTTTGATGGCTGCATAATATTCCATTGTATATATATATACCACATCTTCTTTATCCATTCATCTGTCGATGGACATCTTGGCTCTTTCCATAGTTTGGCTATTGTGGACATCGCTGCTATAAACATTGGGGTGCACGTACCCCTTCGGATCACTGCATTTGTATCTTTGGGGTAAATACCCAGTAGTGCAATTGCTGAGTCCTAGGGTAGCTCTATTTTCAACTTTTTGAGGCACCTCCATACTGTTTTCCAGAGTGGTTGCACCAGCTTGCATTCCCACCAACAGTGTAGGAGGGTTCCCCTTTCTCCGCATCCCCGCCAACATCTGTCATTTCCTGACTTGTTAATTTTAGCCATTCTGACTGGTGTGAGGTGGTATCTCATTGAGGTTTTGATTTGGATTTCCCTGATGCCGAGTGATGTTGAGCACTTTTTCATGTGTCTGTTGGCCATTTGGATGTCTTCTTTGGAAAAATGTCTGTTCATGTCTTCTGCCCATTTCTTGATTGGATTATTTGTTCCTTGGGTGTTGAGTTTGAAAAGTTCTTTATAGATTTTGGATACTAGCCCTTTATCTGATATGTCATTTGCAAATATCTTCTCCCATTCTGTCGGTTGTCTTTTGGTTTTGTTGACTGTTTCCTTTGCCATGCAAAAGCTTTTTATCTTGATGAAGTCCCAATAGTTCATTTTTGCCCTTGCTTCCCTTGCCTTTGGCGATGTTTCTAGGAAGAAGTTGCTGTGGCTGAGGTCGAAGAGGTTGCTGCCTGTGTTCTCCTTAAGGATTTTGATGGACTCCTGTCTCACATTGAGGTCTTTCATCCATTTTGAGTCTATTTTTGTGTGTGGTGTAAGGAAATGGTCCAGTTTCAGTCTTCTGCATGTGGCTGTCCAATTTTCCCAACACCGTTTGTTGAAGAGACTGTCTTTTTTCCATTGGACATTCTTTCCTGCTTTGTTGAAGATTAGTTGGCCATAGAGTTGAGGGTCCATTTCTGGGCTCTCTATTCTGTTCCACTGATTGATGTGTCTGTTTTTGTGCCAGTACCGTACTGTCTTGATGATGACAGCTTTGTCATAGAGCTGGAAGTCCGGAATTGTGATGCCACCAGCTTTGCTTTTCTTTTTCAACATTCCTCTGGCTATGCGGGGTCTTTTCTGGTTCCATACAAATTTTAGGATTACTTGTTCCATTTCTTTGAAAAAAGTGGATGGTATTTTGATGGGGATTGCATTGAATGTGTAGATTGCTCTAGGTAGCATTGACATCTTCACAATATTTGTTCTTCCAATCCATGAGCATGGAACGTTTTTCCATTTCTTTGTGTCTTCCTCAATTTCTTTCATGAAATTTATAACAATGAGGATGATAGTCACACCTAGTTCACAGGGCTCTGCAGAGGATTAAGTGAGTTACAGGTAAAGCATTTAGAATAGTACCTGGCAGGTAGTAAATGCTCAATGAAATGTTTTCACCCTCTTTGTACTCTTCTATTGTGGGAAATGCAAATTGCATGAAAAATTGTTTCTTGTGATTTTATTCAAATAACGGGCATAGTTTTGGTTATTCTTGGATGATAACAGCTTAAAGATAAGCTTTTTTTTTTTTTTTTTTTTTTTAAAGATAACCTTCTATACTTCTGGTCCATATCCCCCAACATCGAAAAGCACCCCTCTCTACCTGGCACCTAGGTGTACATATTTGAATCTCCCTGTGTTTGGGGACTTATATTTTCAAAGTACCCTACCCTTCACCATCTATGTATAGCATTAAGTTAAGTGGTAATCAATTTTGTTAATGATGAGTTTAAAGCATAAAAAGACACGCACACGCACGAATGATTTCCCCTAAAGAGGGTTAACACAGAATGGGTTATACTTCTTTAATGGGTGACCATGTGTATGGCTTCTTTTGGTTGATGAGAGCCACTCATTCCCCAAACATTTTGATGAATCATGGTTGTATCATGTTTGGCTTTAGACAACACTTTGTATTTTCACTTCCTCCTCATTCCACTTAGACTGGATTAAAATTAAGTTGCATTTCTGAGAACAGAGCATTTCTTGGTGGATGGTAAATTTTTGCTGCATGATTAAAACCTACATTAATGATGCAAATACATGATTTTAGACACATATGCACTTTCCAACTTTGCAACAGTTGCATTTTTGTCACTAATGGAAAATGTTGATTGATTTTTTTCAGTGACTGATAACGGATGAAGCAGATGAGTTTGCTGCAGGGCTTGAAAACAAAATGAAAAATCCTGGAGAACCCGACAGTCCTTTGTCCTCTAAGAGAAGGTAGAGGATGGCCTTGCTGTGAATGAAATAGGAAGGAAGATGGTAATTATGTCTTTGAGAAACAGATATGAGAATGTTTGTAAGTAGAAGGGAAAGAATCTAATAAGCTGTAACCATTGGAGTTGCTGCAAGGGTTAGTAGGATGAAGCAGGTCTCTGGGGCAGTAGGAGATGATGGGCTTCACAGGACGATGGGCCTGCACTCGCTCTCTGCATGTTCTCACCTCCTGTTCATCCTCTAACCCAGTGTGGTCTGGCTTCTGCCTCCACTGCCCCACTGAAACTGTCCTTGTCAAGTCCCCAGTGTCTGCTGCATGTTGTCTTTAACTTCTCAGCAGTATTTGACACAGTCATTCACTCAGTCCTTCATGAAAACCTTCTTGGGTTTCTAGAAACCACATTTTCCTGATTTCTTCCCCTCTTACTGGGACTCTTTTTCATTCCCCTTTTCTAGTTGTTTCTTTTCATTCCCACCACTAAATATTGTAGGGCCACTAATCCTGATCTTGGGCCTTCTTCCCTTGAATATACCCTCTCCCTAGATGATCCCATGTAGTCTTGGAACTTTAAATATGATGATGTGTATTTCAACAACTCCCAAATTGATACCTCTAGATTACAACTTACTCCTGAACTCCAGACTCAAATTCAAATGCATACATGGTATCTCCACTTGCATGTCTAAGAGACATTTAAAACTCAACCCATTCCATGTGTTTAAACTGAACTCCTGAACTTCCTCCCTTGTACATACCTTCTCTACATACAGCACTGTCTATTTTGGCTTTTGGTGTTATAGCTAGGAAATCACTGGGGCGCCTGGGTGGCTCCGTCGGTTGAGTGTCCAGTTCTTGGTTTCGGCTCAGGTCATGGTCTCATGGGTCATGGATTGAGCCCTGGGTCAGGTTCCATGCTCAGCGGGGAGTCTGCTTGCTGCTTCTCTCCCTCCGCCCCTCCCCCCCAAAATGAATAAATAAATCTTTTGAAAAAGGAAATTATTGCCAAGTCCAATGTCATGAAGCTTTCCCCCTATGTTTTCTTTCAGGAGTTTTATAGTTTTAGGTCTTACATTTAGGTCTTTAATCCATTCTGAGTTAATTTTTATTTATGGTGTTAGATAAGGGCCCAACTTTATTCTTTTTTATGTGGGTATCCAGTTTTCCCAGTTTGTTTATTTATGTGTATTATTTTTTTATTATTATGTTCAGTTAGCCAGCATATAGTTTTTGATGCAGTGTCCAATGAATCATTAGTTGTGTATAATACCCAGTGCTCATCACATGTGTTCTCCTTAATACCCATCACCTGGTTACCCCATCCCTCCAACCCCCTCCCTTCTGTAACCCTCAGTTTGGTTCCCAGAGTCTCTCACGGTTTGTCTCCTTCTCTGATTTCTTCCTGTTCAGTTTTCCCTCCCTTTCCCTGTGGTCCTCCATGCTATTCCTTATGTTCCACATATGAGTGAAACGATATGATAATTGTCTCTCTCTGTTTGACATATTTCACTTAGCATAATCCCTTCCAGTTCCATCCATGTCAGTGCAAGTGGTGGGTACTCATCCTTTCTGATGTCTGAGTAATGTTCCATCCCAATACCATTTAAATTTTTTTTAAAAGTAAGCTCTACACCCAATGTAGAACTTGAACTCATAACCCTGAGATCAAGAGTCACATGCTCTAGTGACTGAACAAGCCACATGCCCCCCCGTGTAACATTTTTTTTGAAGAGACTCCTTTCCTCATTGAATGGTCTTGACACTCTCATAGACGCACATTTGACCATATATGCAAGGATTTATTTCTAGGATCTCTATTCTATTGGTCTATTTGTGTATCTTTATGCCATTACCACTCTGTTTTAATTACTGAAGCTTTATAATACATTTTAGAATCAGGAATGTGAGTCTTCCAATTTTATTCTTCCTTTTCAAAATAGTTTTGGCTATTCAGTGTCTCCTGAGATTCCATATGAATTTTTAGGATGAATTTTTCTATTTCTGCACAAAACACCATTGCAGTTTTTTTTTTTTTTGAATGTTGTAGTAGTTGATTTCTTTTTTTTTTAAAGATTTTTCTTATTCTTCTTTTTTAAAAAGATTTTATTTATTTATTTGACAGAGAGAGACACAGCGAGAGAGGGAACACAAGCAGGGGGAGCGGGAGGGGGAGAAGCAGGCCCCCTGCTGAGCAGGGAGCCCGATGTGGGGCTCGATCCCAGGACCCCGGGATCATGACCCGAGCTGAAGGCAGACACCCAATGACTGAGCCACCCAGGTGCCCCACCATTGCAGTTTTGATAGGGATTACATTGTAGATTGCTTTGGGTAGTATAAACATCTTACCGATATTAAATCTTCCAACCCATGGACATGGGATGTGTTTCCATTTATTTGTGTCATCTTCATTTTTTTTCAGCAATTTTTTAAAGTAAACTCTACACCCATCATGGGGCTTGAACTCATGACCCTGAGATCAAGAGTCACATGCTCTACTGACCGAGCCCCATTTCAGCAATGTTTTATAGTTTTCAATGTACAAATCTTTCACTTGCTTTGTTAGGTTTGTTTCTAAGTATTTTCTTCTTTTTTTCAAGAATTATTTATTTTAGAGAGAGAGAGAGAGAGCGTGCAAGTACACAAGGCGGGGAGGGACATAGGGAGATGGAAAGGGAGAGAAAATCTCCAGCAGTTTCTCCACTGAGCATGGAGCCCAACGCAGGGCTCGATCCCAGGACCCTGAGATCATGACCCGAGCTGAATCCAAGAGTCAGACGCTTAACTGACTGAGCCACCAGGTGCCCTTCTAAGTGTTTTATTCTTTTTGATGCTATTATAAATGGAATTGTTTTCTTCATTTCCATTTCAGATTTTTCATTGTTAGTGTACAGAAACACAATTGATTTTTGTGTGTTTAGTATCCTGCAACTTTCCATGAAGATTCATTTTATAGTCCCATGTACACTGTAAGCTCCTTTTTGTATCGCCCACAATGTCTTACACGGAATGGTGTTTTAAGCATCTCTTGGTTAATGACATTTCTGTTCATTTTCAGGTTTAAAAAAAGGATTCACGACCTTGAGAAGGTACTAGAAAAAGTAATTTTCACCATCTTCACAACAAAGTTAATTACATCACAAACATAGCCTGTTACCACATCTATCTGTGAGAAACAGGGACAAGTTTGCTGTGCTGTAGAATGGTGCTGGATATTGCTGGCTTCCTAGACTGTGACACTCAAGGGAATTGCCGTCAAGAGGTTACGGCAAAGCAGTGGAGCCTTTTAATGTTGTGATTCTCCATCAGTAAAATTTGGCTTTGGCCTTAAGAATATCCACTGAAAATATAGTTTGCTTTCTTCTTTGTTTTCCCACTAGAGGAAGGGTACGGTATTAACTCTTGAGGCAAAATCCTACTACAGTCCTGGTGTCTGCAGCAAGTCATGTTGCTGCACTGACCCCTGCCTTCTTTCACTACTGCTGTCCTCGGCTGCACCTCAGCGCCTCATGATTCTTTGCCTGGGGAGATGACTCGAACCTTCTTTCTTTTCTTTTCTTTTCTTTTCTTTTCTTTCTTTCTTTCTTTCTTTCTTTCTTTCTTTCTTTCTTTCTTCTTTCTTTTCTTTTCTTTCTTCTTTCTTTCTTTCTTTCTTTCTTTCTTTCTTTCTTTCTTTCTTTCTTCTTTCTTTTCTTTCTTTTCTTTCTTTCTCTTTTTTATCTGAGAGAACGTGCGTGGGCATGCACGAGACAGCAGAGGGCGGGGGGAGGGTAGGGAGGGGCAGAGGGAGTGGGAGAGAATCTGAAGCAGACTCCGAGCTGAGTGCAGAGCCTGGTGCGGGGCTCGATCTCATGACCCTGAGATCACGACCTGAGCTGAAACCAAGAGCCAGACGCTTGACTGACTGAGCCACCCAGGAGCCCTGCAAACCTTCATTCTTGAATGGTTGGGCCATTATATGTTCTGTCTCCGCTAGGTTATTATAATTATCCATTGACTTTTTTCCAAGCTTCACTGACAAATAAAAGTGTAAGATATTTAAAGTGTACGTCGTGATGATGTGATATACATATGCTGTCCATTAATTTTAATCACGAAACACAGGAGTATCAAGAAGCTTTCTAAACGTATCCGACCTACTCCTCCATAGCTCTTTTGTAGTAGGAACTCAATTTCCTTTGAGAGTCAGGTTCAGTCACCCCAGCTAGTACAGTACAGCCCTTCTTTGCCTGTTGATTGAAAGGTCTGGGGAGTCCAAAGTGGCCAGCTGGAAGTCTCAACTTCCCATTCAATGGAGTCATTGTTTTATCCCCCGGTGAAAGCATGTCTTTCTTTAGAACGAAGACCTCTAGTCCAGAAGAGCTAGAGCTGTTGTTGTGGGGACAGGAAGCAAAAATTTTCTATTGTCTTGCTGGGGTAATAGTGAGGAGAGGCGCTCCCATTTCCATACCTTGATTGCAGGATCCATAAATCCATGTGATAAGAGGAACAGCACCTTATACCTATGAATATAAATGCTTAGATAGATCATGACCATCTCTTAGAGGCTGTTGTCCCAGATCCTCAAGTTACTGCCACTTAGCTAGAAACAAGTGAGGTCTTCCAAAAGTCATTCCACTTCAGGATGAGGAGAAACCTAAGACTAGTGAATTACATGAATATTGCTCAATTGCTGCACTCATTTCCTATGAAATGGGTTCCTTGTTTAGAAACGATGCTCTTTAGAATACTGTGATGGTGAATAAGGCAGTTTTCAAATCTACAAATATTGGTTTCTCAAAAACACTAAATGTGGGAAGGAAAATCCATATCCAGAGGTAAGTGTCTATCTGAGTAAGAACAAAGCATGTCTCCTCCCTTAATAGAAGTGTTCCACCATGAACCCCCTGCCACCTGGTAGTCATCTGATCACTCTGGAGACTTCCGTATCAGAGGCTCCATGTTGGCCTCTGCTTCTGGCAGACTGGGCACTCAGCAACGGCTGTAGTGAGATCAGCCTTGGTGAGTGGAGGCCCATGTTGCTGAGTATAACCTCCATCCCTGCCACTTGGCCACTTAGTTCTGGGCGCCGCTGGGTTCTGACATGACGGCTGAGGAAGGGCCTGATGGGTATTTGCATAATGGGTCCCCTAGCCAGCAGATTATTAAACTTCTGCGCTGGTAAGCTTATTCTTTGCTGATCACCCATGGGACACACTTCATATCATATGTCTGTTCGGATGGGTGTATCCATATACCTCTTCCCTAGGCCTCCTTGTCACAAACTTTCAATCATGTATTTTCAAAGTCCCTGACCATTCAGCTAATGACTCAGACATGGCCCATGCATGGTTATACACTCATACTTCTGGCCATCTCTCCTCCAGGCAGAGTGAACAAGCAGGCGCACTGCTCAAAATTTTCCCTCTGGGAGGTTTACCCTTCACCAGTGTCCTTCAGAGCTGTCCCAGGTGGGACTGTAGTGTAGCAGCTGTCCTTTGGCCTTTGTAGGAGGCAGGATTCTAATTATGCCCCCCCCCCCCGCCACCATATTCCAGGCTTCTGGTTATTCAAACACTAGTATGAATACTGCTGTGGTGGGATGTTTTTACTGAAAAAGTGAGTGTTTTATTTTGATAGCATTAAAAGAAAAACAAAATGGTATTTCTACAGTGAGGTGAAAACAATGTTTAAACTTCATTATCAATCAAATATTTTCCAAATGAGAGTATGTTTTATGAAGGTCCCAAAGCACAGGCAAATCTTAACACAATGGTACAGGAATCTATAATACTGGAAAAAGCTCGCTCTGACAGGGAGTTTAAAAACATATTTGTTGAATTCTGAAAGCAGTCAAGCAATCCCTTCCAAACAACTGTGTCAAGAGTGAAACAGTATGTTCCATTAATACCCTAACAATTTCATTGTAATACTTTTTACTGCTATGACAATTTTATATAAATTTTGCTATACTTAAAATAGGCTTTGAAAATGGAAAAGTGTACAAAATTCCAGATAAAATGATTAAGGGATGCAATTTAATAAGGTTTCCCCTTCCCTCATCATCGATGATTACCTTTAGCAGCTAGGAGTTAAACTTTAAAATATTGCACCCTCTGGGGTGCCTGGGTGGCTGTTGGTTAAGCGTCTGCCTTCAGCTCAGGTCATAATCTCAGGGTCCTGGGATCGAGGCCCACATTGGGCTCCCTGCTCAGTGAGGTCTCTGCTTCTCCCTCTCCCTCTGCCCCCACCCCCCTCAAATAAATAAAGTCTTTAAAAAACAAAATAAAATACAACCCCTCAAATGAAAACCTAAGTTTTATTTTTTTCATTGTATTTCCTTTTATCATTTTTTAAATTTAAATTTTAGGTAGTTAACATACAGAGCAATATTAGTTTCTGGAGTAGAATTCAGCGATTCATCACTTACATACAACACCCAGTGCTCATCACAACAAGTGCCCTCCTTAATGCCCATCCCTCATCTAGCCCATCCCCCACTCACCTCCCTCCATCAACCCTCAGTTTGTTCTCTGTCATTAAGAGTCACTTATGGCTTGTTTCCCTGAACACCTAAGTTTTAAATCTTAATCAGATATAACTGGAAAAGTTTACTTATATTTGGATGCCTTTTCTAAAACCTTTTCTTTTTTGTATTAAAGCAGAAACCAGTTCCCCAAACCTCTTATTCAATTATATATCCTGATTGGACTAACATCTGATAGAAGACTGTCATTTTTGCTTTTGTAATTGTGATTTTTCACTGTGCTCTTCTATAGCTTTTACAGAGCTCATGGTCCCTAATATCCCCCCACCCCTGTTTCCTGGGTGGAGAAATGGCTGCCATAATGAACTTCTCACTGATAGAGTTTCTGGAAACATGTGCCCTTTGTTATTATTTAAGAGGGACTCAATTTGGGCATTCTGGGCAGATGGCCTACCGGTTTTCTTGTGCTGCATACCAGTCTCCAGCATGAAAAATGCTAGGAACTTGAGGAACCGCACTTTCCAGAATGTTGGCAGCCAGGGTCCTGTCAAATATTGAAGAATCCTGTCCCAGAGATAATCATCATCAGTACAGAAAGTGTCTGCATTCACTCAGCTTCTGATACAACATCCTGGGTCAAGGCCAGCCCCATACTATGCTCGGTGGCTTGCCAAGTGTCTTCAGCTTGTCTGCAGTGCCGGAGAAACTGCGCCCGGCAGTCTGGGTCCCTAGAGAGAGAACATCGCACTCAGGACGTTCTTGCTGTTCTAACTCTCCCATCCTTTTGAAGACGCGGTAAAAGCCTGAGGCTAAGTAGTGATCCTTGTCTAGCATAAGCACAAGTCCAGCAGCATAAGCACAAGTCCAGCAGTTGTCCTAATTTCCCATACAAAATGCCGCTTCCCCCACCGATGTTTGGTTTGGGAGAACTCGGCCCCTCCCTAGCGGCCGAAGGAGTCGGGATATTGGGCGTGAACGCACCCCATCTTCAAAGCTGCATTACGCGGGTCTCTGCGGCAGTCTCTTGGGTCACCTTATTAAATTGCATCCCTTAATCATTTTATCTGGAATTTTGTACACTTTTCCATTTTCAAAGCCTATTTTAAGTATAGCAAAATTTATATAAAATTGTCATAGCAGTAAAAAGTATTACAATGAAATTGTTAGGGTATTAATGGAACATACTGTTTCACTCTTGACACAGTTGTTTGGAAGGGATTGCTCGACTGCCTGGAGACTCGTTGAGGAACGACTGGATGGTGCCAGGACAGACACCTGCGGGACCCGACAGAAACCTACGGGGCCGTCGCCAGACCCCGCAGCTGCCCTCGCTGACTCACCTCGGCCCCGGATGGTGGGGGGGGGGGGGGCGCCCTGAAGGCTCTCAGCTCGCCCGCGCCCCCGGACCCCCCCCTCCCCGCACGTCCCCGCCCGGCAGCTGCAGCGTGGCCATCGCCCCCGCCACTGGGAGCCAGGGCTCGGGGTCTGCCCGGTCCTGGTCCTCCGGGAAGGCGTCCCACCGCCGCCGTCCTACCGCACCCCAGCTCCGTGACCTGGTCCTCCAGCGCCCTCGCGTCCTAGTCCTCGCTGCTGCCACGGCCCCGCAGCCTCCTCCCACCCCGGCGGTGACCTCCTGTGATGGGCTTTTGCAGCTGGCAGAAGCTCTCTATTTCCACTGTCCCTGAGATGTCCTGTGGCTGGGCCTGACGCACGCAGGTGAGTCCTTTAAAGGCAGGCAGCTATCTCGATCAGGGAGAAGAGGAAGTCAAGAAGGATTTGCCACGCGTTGCCGCTTTGAAGGTGTAGGGGTCCACGTGGGAAGGTGTGCAGGAGGACCTAGGACCTGACAGTGGCCCCTGGCTGACACCCAGCAAGGCGAGGGGGACCTCATGTTTACAGTCTTAAACACGGGAATAGAGCCTCAACATATCAGTCAGGAGGGAGCTGGGAATGAAAACCACAATGAGCTATCACGTCACACCCACAGGGATAGCTGTTAACAGGTGTTTAACAAGTGTCCTGAGGAGACTGGAACCCTCCCACATTGCTGGTGGGAATGCAAAATGATGGGGCATCCTGGCACAACAGGGTGGCATGTCATCAAAAAACTACACATAGGGGCGCCTGGGTGGCTCAGTTGTTAAGCGTCTGCCTTTGGCTCAGGTCACGATCCCGGGGTCCTGGGATCAAGCCCCACATCGGGCTCCCTGCTCCACGGGAAGCCTGCTTCTTCCTCTCCTACTCCCCCTGCTTGTGTTCCCTCTCTCCCTGTCTCTCTTTCTGTCAAAAAATAAATAAAAAATCTTTAAAAGAAAAAACTACACATAAAGTTACCAAATGACCCAGCAATTTCACTTCTAGGTACATACTCAAGAGACATAGACACATGTGTCCACACAAGAACTTGTACATGAACAGGATCCAACATTATACTGCTTCCACCTCCTTACCCCAACCTTTAGAACCATTCTCACACATTTACCCCAGGCTACTGTATATCTATTGGAAAAGACGTGCTGTTGTTTTGGTGAATATCACATCTTGCCATGGGTCTCAGTTTTTCACTCACTGTCTTGGCCTGTGGGCCCTCGAGTCTAGGTACAGGTTAAGGAGCAGTGAGAGGTGATGGTAGGAGCTACAGAGGAGGATAAACAGGGCCCTGCCAGGCCACCATCTCAGGTGAGACCCTTAGAGGTTCTTCAGGCAAAGGGGAAATAACCTCTTCAGGTAGGAGTGGAAGGGCTGCCTCTGCTGGCAAAGACACATAATTTAGAGGTTCGGGGACCTGGACTCATTGACATGCACCCATATATTCCCATTCCAATTTCCAGTATCCTGTTTCTCCCAATCAGTGCCCTAATATTAACAGAAGAGCCCTGGTGAGGTTGTGAATTTAATTTGTGCTGTAATTCAGCCACTCGAAGATTAAACTTTGGAACTGGAATCCCCAAATATTGCACCCATGGCTACAAGAGAATGATTTCTTTCAGGCCTGTATCAGGACTTTTCAGGTCCTTCATTTGGACCTTGATCTGGGACTGTAAGGTTCCGAGCTCAGTCTTTTCTCTCCTCAAGTTCTGAAGCTCATTTAGAAACAACAAATCAACTCCATAATACTCCTATTTTTTTCCTTCATAATCTTCCTTATTTTGATGAAAATATTCTAACATATCATATACTTGGTGACCCAGAGACTTGTCTTTTTTTTTTATTCTTATGTTAATCCCCATACATTACATCATTAGTTTTAGATGAAGTGTTCCATGATTCATTGTTTGTGCATAACACCCAGTGCTCCATGCAGAACGTGCCCTCCTCAATACCCACCACCAGGCTAACCCATCCTCCCACCCCCCTCCCATCTAGAACCCCCAGTTTGTTTTTCAGAGTCCATCGTCTCTCATGGTTTGTCTACCCCTCCGATTTCCCCCGCTTCATTCTTCCCCTCCCGCTACCTTCTTCTTCTTTTTTTTTTTCTTAACATATATTGCATTATTTGTTTCACAGGTACAGATCTGAGATTCAACAGTCTTGCACAATTCACAGCGCTTACCAGAGCACATACCCTCCCCAGTGTCTATCACCCAGTCACCCCATCCCTCCCACCCCACCCCCCACTCCAACAACACCCAGTTTGTTTCCTGCGATTAAGAATTCCTCATATCAGTGAGATCATATGATACATGTCTTTCTCTGTTTGACTTATTTCACTCAGCATAACACCCTCCAGTTCCATCCACGTTGTTGCAAATGGCAAGATCTCATTCCTTTTGATGGCTGCATAATATTCCATTGTATATATATATACCACATCTTCTTTATCCATTCATCTGTCGATGGACATCTTGGCTCTTTCCACAGTTTGGCTATTGTGGACATTGCTGCTATAAACATCGGGGTGCACGTACCCCTTCGGATCCCTACTTTTGTATCTTTGGGGTAAATACCCAGTAGTGCAATTGCTGGATCATATGGTAGCTCTATTTTCAACTTTTTGAGGAACCTCCATACAGTTTTCCAGAGTGGCTGCACCAGCTTGCATTCCCACCCACAGTGTAGGAGGGTTCCCCTTTCTCCACATCCCTGCCAACATCTGTCGTTTCCTGACTTGTTAATTTTAGCCATTCTAACTGGTGTGAGGTGGTATCTCATGGAGGTTTTGATTTGGATTTCCCTGATGCCGAGCGATGTTGAGCACTTTTTCATGTGTCTGTTGGCCATTTGGATGTCTTCTTTGGAAAAAGAGACTTGTCTTTTATAGGCACTTAATCATAGGTAACTAAAGGTGAACTTTTGACTACCGCTTTTGCCACTTGCTGCTGTGGACTAACAGTGCCCACTTTACCATTGGAAACAGGGTATTAAAGCCTTCCAGTCTAATTGGAGATGTAGTCCAGGAAACCCAGTACAAATTCAGAGAACACACTGTTAAGATTCTGTTCCTTTGGAACCACTCTCACAATCTGTATCAGTCAGCCTTCAACCCGAAAAGCAGAACTAATGGGAGATTTTAATGTATGTATATTACATATACGGGTATGTGTGTGTGTATATATATATATAATGAACTTGGCTGCTACTTAGAACTGGCTCAAGCAGTCCCTTAAGGACATTGTCTCCAGGTATGATGTTGGAACCAGTCAGGCAGGTAGGAAGGGAAGACCATGTGCGGGTTGACTTGCACATTCTATGCTTTAAAAACACCGAAAGAGGGCGCTGTTGGTCAAAGGATACGGTTGTGGTTACATGGGATGAATCAGTCTAGAGATTCTGATGTGCAGCGTGGTGGCGACAGTTAATACCCTATCAAGTCCTGGCAATTTGCTGAGAGAGTAGATTTTCGGTGCTCTCACCCCCCCAAAGTAATTATGCGAGGAGATGGAGATGTTAATTAGCTTGACTGTAATAGCCATTTCACTATGTATACGTGTATACATCATTGTGTTGTAAAACCCAAGTGTGTACAATTTTTTTAATTTAAAATAAATAAATAAGTAATTTTAAGAAACACCAAAAGAAAAACAAGATATTGTGAGGTTTTCCTTTCACGCTTATACACAAATCTATATTTGGCAGTGTTATGTTCTCATTACTTTGCCGGTATTTTACATAAAAAGAAACTTTGACTATGCATATATAAAAATAATACATCTTATTGGTTTTTCACAAGTTCATTAATGCTGGAGAAATTTCTAGTTATATCTTTCTTATGATTTGTCATTCCTTCATGGAAAAATAAATTGTACCATTTTCTTCTAAAAAATTCAGAAGAGATCATAAGAATTTTGACTTCAAAACATCCCTCATTGTCATCAATGGTATTTGTTCACGTTTGGTCTCAAAATGTTGAACTTAACAGCAGAGTGATTTTATTTTATTATTATTTTTTTAAAGATTTTATTTATTTTTTTGACAGGGAGAGACACAGCGAGAGAGGTAACATAAGCAGGGGGAGTGGGAGAGGGAGAAGCAGGCTTTCCGCTGAGCAGGGAGCCCGATGCGGGGCTCGATCCCAGGACCCTGAGATCATGACCTGAGCTGAAGGCAGACGCTTAACAACTGAGCCACCCAGGCGCCCCAACAGCAGAGTGATTTTAAAAGATGGATTTCAAAACAGGGCAATGTTTAAGATATCAGCACAGAGGGAAACCTCACAAGTCTAGAAGCAGGTGGTATAATGGGATTAATAAAGGTTTGGTCATCTCCCTCCCTTAGCATTCAGCCAGCTGCAGAAAGAGTAGGGGGGATAGATGAATAGATATATGGATGGATGGATGGATGGGTGGATGGATAGATAGATAGATAGATAGATAGATAGATAGATAGATAGATAGATAGATAGATTTGTTAAAGAAAATTGGCCTTACACAACTGTGGAAAGCAGTTAAGCAGGCTCTATAAGGTTGTTGTCACCTAAACTAAGGGTAGGGAGGTAACAAACAGGCCAGAACCCACAAACATGATCTGGAACACATAAGGACAGATTGAAGTACATACTCATCCTTGTTGCCTCTGACTTTGGGGATGATGTTAACCTGCCGAAGCCAGGAGGTCCCTCTGCATGGAGCTAAGTGCACACACCTGGCCCAGAAGATAGAGCAGCTGAAGGAGGATCCAGGGGAAAGAAGAGAAATTGCAGGGCCAGCTCCTACTTCACCCCAGTAAGGTGAATCAGCCAAGTAGCAGCAGCGCATGGGAGTTACAAAGTGGTTGCTGCTTCCCCTCATATACCATCCCCAATTTTCAAAGAATCTGCCTGTGGCACACTCTAACCACATACATATCGGAAAGGGGATTGCAGGTGATGTAATTTGGCCTAGCCAAATTGACACATTACAAGTGATACCCTTGTCACCTTGGTACACATGCCCATCTCCTTAAACCATGCTTGATCTCTACAGACAATGACAAAGTCATACTTCTGCCTAACCTGACACAAATCTCTCCCACCTACAACTGAGACATTCCTAACCCTTCCCTAAATAAGAGGGCATTAAGTCCTATATTTTCTTGTCTTGTTCATTCTTCCGCTACCTGTTCACCCCCCCAATTTAATATCTTGTACCTTAAATACTGAAAAAAGGTTAACTAATAACACATCTTGTGTTATAAGATAAGGGGATGAGAGGGTGTCAAAACCAAAATTATTTGCTTAATATATATGTGAGTAAATTCCTATGAAAATAAAGAAGTAAATACTCATTACAGTCCTTTTTTTCTGCATATAATTATGTGATTACTTCTTCCACATTCCACCTTCTCTTACCCTTACAGGCACTTTTTCTGGGGATGCTCCTTTTCCTGATGGGGTGACTCAAACTTTCTCTCTCTTTCTCTCCCAACTTTCTCTCCCAAACTTTCTCTCATGGCCATTAGCAGTCCTGAGTCGATTAGCCTGGTGTAGTTTCCATTGACCGTAGTAAGTGGACGTGGGAGTATCTCTTGCATTCACACATACACCTGCTTACTCCCCTTCTGACCAAGGGTCCCTGAATTAATCAAACCCCACACTTGACTTGGTTAAAGATCCAAAACCTCGTGTATGAAGGGGACGCTTCTTAAGGAAGGAAGCTTCTAAAAACGTTTCCGTTATTATCTTTCTCCCATGCGTACCCAAAGGGGCCTGCAACCCTTTACTAGTGTGACTGTCCACTGGGGACGAGAAATATTCAGATTTGTCCATGATTACAGGACCCCGGCACAGGACCCCGGCTCCGAACGGGCACTAATGTCCTGGACCCACGAAACGTCATTCTGTCCTTTGGAACAACAGTGGGCTTACTACTGGGCCTTGGCAGGATTGAATGCTTGACCAGGGGACACCGAGTCCCCGTGCCGCCTGAGCCGTCCGTCCTAACCTGGGTGCTTTCCGACCCACCAAGTCACAGCCGGGGGGGGGGTGCACACAGGCACCCCTTTTCAAATGGAAGCAGTGTGTGCAAGATCAACCCATGCAGGTCCCGAAGACGCAAGGGCTCTGCATGAGGAAGCGGCCCCAAACCCACGGCTCCGACTCCTGCCGCCTAACTTCTTTCTCTGGCTTGGAAGAATTCCAAGATGTTCTCCATGCTCTTTGCCCTCTGGTGTTCTCCCATCATGACGTGACAGGACAGAAAGGACTCTGCAGATGGAACTAAGGTTGCTAATCATTTGACCTTTATAGTGGGATGAGCGGGAGCGCCCAGGCCGAGGTGGTAAGGAAGCCCGAGAAGAATTGGATGTGTCATCGCTGACTTGGAGATGAACAGAGCCACAGGACAAGGGCCTGAGCGTGGCCTCTAGAGGTGACACTGAGCCCTAGCCAACGGCCTGTGGGAAAGGCAGCATCTATCTGTCTCATAGCACAAAGGACCTGAACCCGGCCACCCATCCCCATGAATCTGGACGCGCATCCCACCCCAGAGCTTCCAGGTGAGAACCCAGCTTGGCTAACATCTTGACTCCGGCCTTTTAGGCCCTGAAGCAGAGAACCGAGTGGAAACCACCCAGACTTCTGAGCTACAGGACTGTGAGAGAAGAAAGAACAAAGACTGTTCCAAGCCTCTAAGTCTGGTAAAATTGTGGAAGCTGCTAAGTTGGGGGTAATTTGTCACGCAAAATAAAAAATGAATAAACACCCTCTCTGAATGGGGATCCACATACGCTCGTGTGGATTTCGCTAAAACCAGCTGGCTAGAGAAGCGATACATGAAGCCTGGATTATAGATAGTTCTTCCTCATAGGCAGGCCCTGCCGATCCTCGTTTCCTTCCCCACAAGAAGGGAAACAGTCGAAATGATTTACAGTCGGATACACCGGAGTGACACTTAGTCTAATGTGTAGCCCGTAGGAGGAGGCGCTTGTGGGTTGGTGGGCGAAGGGCCTGTGAAAATCCACTCCAGCACACGAGCGGTGAGAACACGGGCAAACCCTGTCCCAGTAAAGGGTTTCGGGACCGTGCAAACAACCCAAGCCTGGCAACAACCGGAAGGGCGTTCCGTCAGGAGAGACGGCTCCATCCCAGCAGGGACAGTGAGCTTTGGGCTGTTGTGACCAGCACTGTTCCCTCCGCCCTCTCCT